TGATTTTAGATCAATTGTGTTAATACAGTATGTCAAAATGAAAACATGACTGTAAATTCAGACACGTGAGGTTGTGCTGAAAAGAATGAGACCAAACAAGGCAAACAAATAGTTTTTAAAGGTGAAATGTAGAGGAAACATCAAAAGTAGTAAAACATGGCCAGTTATACCCTGGACCCCAGAGGGTTAAACTTTTTTTTTTTAAAGTAACACAATAGTTACTTTTCAAGTAATTAATTACTTTTAGAACATTGTAACTCAGTTACTAACTCAGTTACTTTTTTGAAGAAGTAACTATAATTAATTACTTTTTCAAAGTAACTTGCCCAACACTGGTCAAGAGTATCAAAGACTGCACTTTGATCAAGTAAAACAACTAAAAAAGAATTGCCTGGATCAGAATAGCTTATTAAAAAGACGAGTCTCAGTCTCATATGTATATTGCATGACAGGGATGTGAATGTACTTAAAACAACTGGTACCCTCATTTTTATTTCTTGAGATTAAATAAATCATGAAGTGCACTCTTTGGATATAAAGACTATTTTGCTTCTCCCGTCCTTAAGGATTTGTGTAAAATATAAAAATAATCAATAATCCTCTGAGACACCACAAACTAAAAGCCTCGACATCTCTCTGGGTGTGTCTGCTAATGGACATCAGAGCATTTGTCTGTATTTAATGGATGTTATGATATAAACAATCACCAAAAAAGATTATCTTTAAACTGCAATTAAAATTTTGAAAACTAGAAAATATCTGCAAACATGTGGCTGCCAAACAGTGGTGCTGCATGTTAAACCTGTGGAGTAAGGACCTTCAAGTGTTCATTTATTATTATTAGGCTCATATGACCTCAAAATCAACATAGAGGTTATATGACTCAACTGACTGATGAAGAAGAAGAAGAGAAGAAGAAATCAGTGGCTTGCACCAACTACAAGGAGTCAACCTAAACACTGTAACTGCTGTAAGGTGAGAAGATGGAGCCGTTTTACACAATTGTTACATAGTTACTGAAGGCTGTAATAAGTTTCTGTGAAAAAAAGAGTCAGAAATTGTGAATGCAGCCCTCCTCACGTGTCTGAAATCATCAGCATCAGTTCAGCTGAAAGTTAATTAACCGAGACACAGAAAAAAGGCCTCCAGCATGACGTAGGAACAAAATGAAATTCAGAGTGTCTTAGCTGTAAACCGCTCTCCCATATCCTATGACACACCCACACACATACAGACACACACACTTATTTCTACATTTGACCTCCGTTTCACCTTTGTCTTCCTCTCCGTCATCCTTTTCATCCTTTTTTTTGTCAAGTCACAGTGACTCAGTAGAATTCGTCAGTCACCTGACAGCACCCAAAATATCTCAAATAGCGATCAATGAGAAGGTTAAATGTCTGTACAGCTACATTTCAGCTACACTTTGACATCTGTGATCCAGAGGATTGTAACCTGTCCATCTACTGTGTCTGGGGGACAAATTCTTTCTTCTAACTGCCAAAGCTATTCTTGGTTTTATGAATGAAACACTTTATGATTATATTTTGAATTATGAAGGTATATCCAACTGGATTTCAAGCATTTTATTCACATTACTGCAAACATTTGAAGGACTGAATGGTCCTTTTAAGAGAACCTGTTTCATGCAAGGGCGTGTCCAGGAAAAGGAGAGGGTGGTGCCAGCAGATTGGACCTTAATGTTGTCCCAATCCCACTGGACTGGACTATTCTGGACTATCTGCAACATTTAAGTGATGTAATCATTACTTAATCAATAATTATGGTCCACTAATATGCCACTTTGTCTGTGATTATTTGTGATGAGTACTTTTACTTAATTACTTCAAGTATATTTTCTAAAACACTCTCAGAAAAGCACTCTTAGACTACTCAGGTAGAAGTTAGACTTTTACTTAAGTAAACAACCTAAATCTTCTTTTACTACTTTCCAAATGACTCAATCAATATAAAACAATTAGCTTAATAATAGGACTCCTGCAGAGTTCCATATTTCATTTAATACCATTTGATTTAGTGCACATGTCTGTGCCTAAGCCTGGAAGTTAGGATTTTGTAAACCAGTTTTCTACACTGTATAGTTCTGATAATATACTCTTCCAAGTCATTATTCTTGGTCTCCCACGTCTTAAAAAACCCCCTGGAAACACCTCTGGTTTCATGCAGACAAATGTAATAATCAACCTCCTAAAAACACTCTAAACAGGAGAAGGACAAACTTGGTAGTAGCCTGTTGCACCAAACACATTTGCTGAACAGATGCTGTGTTACTATGGCAACCTGTCTCATGATAACAGCATCAGATCACACTGTTCCAGTGTGCAGAAATCCTCCCTGATACAGCAGAACACAGATTTAACAAACAGATATTTCTGTGTCGTTTATACAACCTACATGTCATTCTAGTACAACTGTGTGTATCAGATGATCACATGACGCATACATTAGACCTCTGTGCACATACTGCATCTTTTTTCTTTTAACACAACGTGTGTGCATTTAAACCTCCACCCCTTATTCCACTCTTCTGTCCATCCATCCAACAACGCCCACAGCTCCCCCTCCTCCCTCCTTCATCTCCATGGCAACAGCCTGGAGGTGACACGTTTATTGACAGAGGCTGAAAGTAACCACTGTGCAGCAAACATGCGGCAGCGTCTCATTCACTAAAGTATCACTAATCCACAGCAGCGCTGCACGCAGGTGTGCGTGCATGCGTGCACACACACACACACACACACACACACACACACACACACACACACACACACACACACACACACACACACACACACAGATACGATGAGTGCATCTGACCTACATCTGCGCTCAGCCAACCAGCTCATAGTCTCTGAAGACTGAATTGTTGAAGGTAACCAGGGAGCAGGGTTAATGTATTGATCTGTTCATTATGAAGGACTCAGGCTCTTCTGTGAGGGGAGGGTCTCACAGGTGTCAGGTGGTGTACTGACAAGCAGATTCATAATTTGTATGAACAGAGGAGGGTGGGGCAGAAGGAGGCCATCTGAGCAAGGCTATAATTGCTTCAGTGTGTAAGGTTAGTCATAAATATCTGAGTCACTAAACATTTAAAGACAAACAAATCCTGTGAAATTGGACCTTGTACTCACCACCAAATATCTGACGTCTTTTGTATCACCTACAGAAACAATTAAAAGGTTTTTGTTTTTCACTGTATATTTTTAGAAAACAATTCCTCCTTTTGTTTTAAGACATTTCCTTGTTAAATTACAATAAAGTACAACAACATCAGCCATTATTAAATCAGCACTATTATTAAATTGTTGTGACTGTAATCTTTGACAGAAGTTTCTTAATAAAAAAGATTTTTAAGATTCCTAATGTAATCTGCACAGTTTATAACTGTAAACATGTAACTGCATGTACCTTAATACTGTACAAAATGACTTTTAATTAATTGCTTGAAATTAATCTTTCCTCATTTTTTTCCATGTGAAGATTTCAGATTACATTTAGAACAAAAAGTAGTTTTTTGAGTCAAATAAATGGAAACACGAGCTAAACTACTGGGAACCTGATGTTCTTCATATGTCACATACTTTCCACCATAGCATTGATTTTTGGGAGGAAATAAAATTGCTTTCTTATTTTTGTGTCAAATGTAGTGCCATGCTTTGTAACTAGAAAGCAAATCTTAAGGCTTCATTTATACTGCAAAAGGTTTCAACAAAATTCATTTAGCTTCAAACTGACATCTACTATGAAGGTTGTGTATCTCTGACAACCTGTTAGACTGTGACAACCAGAAAATATGTAAAAGTATCTGAATTTGAGGCAATTTATAGTTATGTTAACCTTTGGAAGCATATTTTCTAGTCCTCTAACCCTACATGTCTAATCTCTCTCTCATTAACCTAAAACAAACATACAGTAATAAAACTGAAAGTATAAAGTAGAATGAAATATGCATTAAGTCGCACAAAATCAGACACTGCTACTGAAATTACAGATAATGCCAGAATGCACAAACATACACATGGTATTCCTCTGGTGCACATTTGATACCCATCTGCAGAGCTTTGCATGACTCAGAGAGCTCTCATGGCGCACATACTGGCTTTTACCACCCACACAGCTTCACTTACACTCTATAAGGAAAAAAAGGGAAAGTATTAAAAAGAAATCCTTTAGTTGCAGTGACTATTCATCTGTTTTTCATCCAGTTCACTAAATGCAAACTGGAGCAGTAGGCCTGTTTTGTCCTACAACCGCTCTCTCTCTCTCTGAATGTGGGTCACACAGAATAAAGAATATTAAAATCTCTTGCCTGACTCTCCATCTTTTCAAGTCTGTCTGGACGATCACCGGGCAAATTTTAGGATTTCCAAACTGCAGGATGGAGTCTGGAGCTGGGAGCTTCAGGTGGTGTTTAAAAGGCTTCGCAGGACCCGCCCGTCGGTGCTGAAAACTGCAGCAAAAGGAGGAAACCTCATTAGGCGCTGTCCGTGGTACCAAACCGACTCCATCAGGGAGGACACGACTACTCTCCCCTCATTTCCCATCAGAAACCGATCTCAAGTTATCCGTACCATGCTGCTATAATGCAGGTTTAAATGGAAAGAAAAAGTAGTTGAAATAATAAAGTTAACCTTTTTGTACTCGCGCGACCTAATGCCGGTCAAAGTGGAGGTGCAGTAGATTATTCCCACCCCCTGCTTGCCCCCAAAGACCCTTAACCCGTGCACAAAGCGGACAAATAAAGGGTTCTCACCTGTCGTGACTGCCAGTCCGGACACAGGAGCTGCAGCGGTGGCTTTTTGCGGCAGTGCCTCCCTTCTTTTCTCATATAGGCTGTGCATACGGGAGCTGCGAGGGGAACCGCACGTAGTTGTAGTCTGTTTGAAGACAGCCTATGAGAAATGAGGACGCAGGGATGCCGTGAATGTGGCCGCGCCCCCTCAGAGTTTGACGTGCAGGATCTCATGACTCCTGCGCATCATCACCGCATCATCACCGCATCCCGTGAGGAGAGGCGGCGTCTATGTCCTATTATGGATACAGCCTTATTTCGGTTAGTTGGTCAGCTCAGTTAACGAAAAGACTAGGCGCATGCGCGGACGGAGTTTGCGTGAGCGAGTGTGGTGGGGGATGATAATGGTGAACCCTTCTTCCTCCCTGCTCCGTCCTGGTGTCCTCCTCGGCTTCCCATGATGCATCTCGCTGGTGACCTTGACAGAAGCCAGTGGACGACTGATGCTGCAGATGTTAATGGGAGGCGGGCAGTTGCCAGGGCAACAGGTCATGCAGTGCGGCACACAGGATATTCCAGCAGCAGAAACAACGCTGTGACTTTTGCACACTCACGAACATCCTCTCAGAATTTGTGAAGCACGAGCAGAGAAAAGCCACCAGTATGAGCTGGTGCTGAAATCACGCACGCACTGCAGTTCTTTCACGCTCACGATTCACGCGTGACAAAGATACAAACCAAAATCAGCTGACTCCCTGGAGGAGGTTTGTGTGGAACTATTATGCAATGAACGTAACACTTCTGTTCTGCCTCAGTGAATTTGTTTAAAAATAAATAAAAATCATTTGAGATTAAAATACAAAATAACCTTCTTTGCCTTTCGTCGTTTGACCTTAGCACATATGTTTCCTGGCACGTTTTGTCTTAGCAGCCACAACCACTAAGAGCAGTGTTAACCGCTTAATAATTAGAGAATACGTTAAAAATGATCATTTAAAATCTGATCACAGACATGCCTTGGAGATGGAGGCCTTGTAAGTGGTGTGGTGAATAGACTTTTGACAGGAAATTCATAGCATAAAATCAACGTTTATAGTTTATGTTGAAAGTTATTTTTAAAGGTACAGTTCAGAAGAATGACTGTTTCCGTTTTTGTTTTCAGTTCAATCATCTTGAGCTGCATCTCTACAACAGCTTTCAGCTCTCTCTCATTTTTTTGTTAAAAATCTTGAATAAAGTTAAAGATTAAAAGCAAATCATGGCACAATAAGTAATTTATATAACGATGCGCACCACTGTTTTCATGAGCTGTCTGATGATGCAACACTTTTGCATCGTGGGTCAGCATCATCTCCTTTCTTACCATAAAGGATGGGCAAGTGTCTCCTCTCCTAAAGGAGGTAATAAAGGAAGCATTGAAGCACCTTTCTGTAGTATTTAGAGAATTCAAACACTTGTTATAATGGCTGCCACACAGACACAGCTAAAAGCCTGAGTAAACTGTAAATTACAACTGTCAATTAGCAAAAGTCAGACATGACTCATAGTAACATTTTATTATGACATTTTTGTACAGAAATATTGGAGTGTTTCACTTTTATATCTTAAGATGAGACAATTGGATGGAGATCAACATTTCCTTAAATCTTCCCAGGGAAGCTTCCTGCCTCTATCTGATCGTCCCATTTCTGAACCTGCAGGAAAGAAAAAACAGGAGAAAATCAAAAAGTGGAGCAATAAATGCCTAGAGTGGAAACTAGCCTGAAACACAGCTGTGACTTTTACAACTTTAAACGTAGAGCTTCTGAGTGAAAAAGAATAATAATAATAATGGATTAGATTTATATAGCGCTTTTCAAGGCACCCAAAGCGCTTTACAATGCCACTATTCATTCACTCTCGCATTCACACACTGGTGGAGGCAGCTACAGTTGTAGCCACAGCTGCCCTGGGGCAGACTGACAGAAGCCAGGCTGCCATATCACGCCAAAAAGAAAACTGATGACTAAATTAAAACCAAGAATTTTGGAACAGAAGCAAATGAAGGTGCAGCCGAGTGAGACAGTGAGATTTGTTTCACGTGTAACTTACCCAGCTGATTGGGCAGAGACTCTTGTAGACTCTGCGGTACCAGTCACAGGGAGTCGTGTCCTGGTCTTTGGCTGACAGAACTTTGTTACATCTGTGGAAATCTGTAACAAAAAGAGGGGGACGAGCTGTCAAACCAGAGATGGACACTAAACAGCCAGCAAAGCCAGCCGGTGTCCTCGAGTCCTTTATCTGACTCAAGGACTCGAGTCAGATAAATGAGCCTGATTCTGTTTATCTGCAGTTTTCCTCCAACATCATACTATTGTCACTCTAGGACCATCAGAGTCACCGACCACAATGCCACACTAACGCATGGCTTGTTGAAGTGTAGACCTACAAAAATCAACCATAAACCGTGTATATTTATTTGAAACATCAGCATTTTAGCTGTCGCCCTGTTAGTTTTTGGAAGCCAGCAGAGACGTATATGGTATACGTATAATGCTACGTTGCTAGCAAGCTGTATGTTCATACTCGCACAGGTGCAACACACCTGCCAAGTAACAGGCCAATAAAACACTTGAATTTCACTCACTGAAACAGAAGCACAAACTTCTTGAATGATCTATATTTGTAAGCAAGACATTTTTCATGTGATTTTAATAAAAATGCTCCAAAAACCTCAGACAGCACAAAAATAGTAAGGAGGCTCATACAGTCATCTGCTACACTTCACTGTTAGCTCACGTGCCATTAAAAGAGACCAGACATCTAACTCGAATGACAAAATCAATCAGATTAAAAAAACAACAACAACAAAACATTCAAATCATCCTCTCCTGAGTTAAGTAGGAAACTGCCCATTATATATGCTGACGCTGCTGTGACACGATAGTCTCAAAGTCCTCATTTATCTTACATGGAACTGTTGTTAGAAACCCAAACATCATTTATTTATTTATGAGCCAAATGTCAACATGGTTTTATTATGTGACCATAAACAACCACGGTTCAGTCACTATTAACTTTTATAATTAAGAACCACAAATCATAAAATGCCGATACACCTGACATTTATTGTCGCACAAAAAACAAAAAAACAAACCCAAACAAAACCACAATCTGTTTCTGTCCGTCGGTGTGATGCGTTCGGGCTGTCACGTCACAGGACAGGAAATTTTAAAGAAACTTGTAACACAAATAAAATTGTATTTGAAAATTGTGTTAAAATACAATTAAAAAAAATATAAATTCAGATACATCATGAGTTTGGTTTGAGCTCTTGAGTTTCAGACTGAGTGACTTACCTATTAGTAAGTAAAATAATTAAATAATAAACTAGTCAAAAATCGTTTTAACATCAGATTGAATGTTGAGATATCAAAGTTATTTTGGAACTTTTGAGAAATTATGTTTTATCCTTAAAATATTTGACTATTTTTAATCAATAATAATAAAATTAAGATTTATCTGATCAAAGTTGAAATAAGTACTTGACATATTTTTGAACACAATAACTAACATTGACATGTATAAAATACCAACAAATATGTTGAAATAAGAAACAGTTGCATCGGGGGAGATGCAGTTATCACTCCTCTTAAAACTGGTGTAATTTTCAGCTCTTATATACATTAAATCCAACAAATATAAGTATTCATGGTAAAATAAGTGGTAATTTATACAAAAACAAAACAAGGAAAAATAACTTCCTATTTGTCAACCACTCATAGCAAATTCTCCTTTTTAAAATCGGGCTGTCAACACGCTTATTTTAGATATTTCAAAGTCATTCATCCATCCTTTTCCTCCACAGCTTAAAAATGAAGCCAGTGCAAACGCACCAAGAAGGTTTTCTAATGGGCACCTAAGCCTGACTGCAGAAGTGATTCCCAACATCCACAGAAGTAAACGTGTTTACAGCCTGCTACACAAATGGCTTTGGTCTCTACAGAGTTCTCCCTTCATAACAGCCTCAGGGAGACGTTCAACAGTGAACTGAAGCAAACGGCTGTCTGCCAGGCCTAATGTCTGATAAATAGTCACTGAACTGGACCTCCCAACCATCTCTGTGATGTTTGGGCATTTGGAGCATTTTTAATAGATGATCTGTAGCACGTATGCTGTGTGCTACAGATCATCCAGGAAGAGTGTGCTTTAGTTTTGGCGAGTCAAGTTTTTGTCTTTTGTTACTCTGTTACCTACCATTTATTTATCTATTGATAAATAGATATCAGTGTGTTGCACTTAAACATTTTATGAATGCTGCTTGCTAACCAAGCATTACCGATTGCATTGTGCCCCATCATCCATATAAGGTAACTTCTGGCTTCAAACCCTGCAATAAACAGGAGTTTCATTAGCCTGACTGGTTATGCCTGAGAAAAGATCATAGGTGTGTTTCACCGTTGTACACATGGAATAAAGGCCTTTCTGGCAGGAATCAAACTTCCCCCATGTGCAGCTTTTTTACCCTGAAGTGCAAAACTAAAGTGTCACAGCATTGTTATTGGTCAATTCAAGTAATGGTCCTGTAACAGTTATTCAGCATCAGATTATCGAAATGATTTAGGTTACAGTCACTTCAGATTGAAACTGAGTCTCTGTGTCTGGGTGGCATTTAGTTTTTACTGCACTTCCACAAAGACTGATGCAAACTTTTACTCTGAAAAATCAGCAGAGAAGCAGCATTAATCAAAACATTCATTACATATGCAGACGGATCAATACGTCTAACGCAGCGGTCCCCAACCTTTTTTGCGCCACAGACCAGTTTATGCCCGACAATATTTTCACGGACCGGCCTTTAATGTGTTGCGGATAAATACAACAAAATAAAACTAGTACCGGTACCGGAAAAAAAAGAAGATTTATTCATAACACTCGTGAAAAGACCCAGGAAAACCAAGTTAACGATAAAAATGATAACAAAATAACGCTGAAAACCGATAAAAACCCTGAAAAGCATACATTTCACACCTGAGCCTCAACTTTCGCGGCCCGGTACCAAACGACTCACGGACCGGTACCGGTCCGAGGCCCGGGGCTTGGGGACCGCTGGTCTAACCTGAAGCTGAATCACAGCAGCGATGAAAGAGATAATTAGAGAGTGCATTTAGTCTGCAGCAAATCCACCGTCGCACTGGGCTTTAGCATAGAAGGAGATGTGTTTAATTCTTTGAGTTTTCATTTGAAATAGAAACTAGCAGCAAAGCAACTTAGATTGATTTAAATATTGAAATTCAGACATCAAGCATGGGTTGTGTCGATTGTCAAAACTCATCGTCTCACATTTCTTTATAAATTAAGAAACACAGAAATAAAATTGACCAGAATAAGTTTGGAAGTGAGAACTGCTGCAGTTTAAACCCTCAATTAGTCTCAAATGAAAACAACAAAATCCACAGTCAAGTATTGGAAATACTCAGCAAACATGCCAAAAGCAGCTTTTATGTGAATAGATGATG